GACATGCCTGGTTTTGCAGAGAGCTCTGATAAAATCTGTTCTTGCCCTGCAGAACAAATCTGCCCTTCCTCTGTTCCTCCCCACAGATAATGTGGGTCAAGCCCACAAGGGGATGCCAACCCAAAAATGTGGAAAGAGGGATTTTTTTCTCCTTTCCTAACCCCCAGCCCCAGAAAAGAGGCTCAGGGTGAATCCACCGGTGCGAAAACCCAGCGAGGGAACAAAAACAGGAGTTTAAAGATGACTTGGCTGTTGCGAGTGAAGCGATGGCAGCGTTTTGAAATGTCAGCTATTCTGCTGCTTTGGCAAATTCTTCTCGTGTCTCTGCCTTTGTTTTCCTTCCCTGAAGAACGGCGAGGTCTGGCCCTCGCTGCCAGTGCGGTTTTGCTGTCGGGATCTCACGTCTGGGGCTGCAGACTCCAGGCTGGCCAGAGGTTCGCAGGGATTCAGGGATTCAGCCTTTCCCTGCAAGGTTTTACTGTTCCTTTCCTTGGAAAGCATTGCTGTTGTCTCCTCGGTGTTGCAGGGTTTTGGGGGGAGTCCTGTGGGGTGGTTGTTCCTGCTGGTTTGCCCTTAATTCACAGCAAGCCTTAAGGGCTGGGCTGTTTATAGGTGGAAAAATTCCTTTTTGAGTGAAAGAGGAGAGCCTTCCGTGCCGAGTGAGAGTGTGAAACAGGCTGGGCGTGGATGAGAGGGGTGAGAAGTTCTTCATCTTGTGGGTCCGTAAGTGGAGCCTTTTGCTGAGCAGGTTTTTTTGGGGAAGGGTATTTTGTGGTATTTTGGGGTATTTTTTGGGGAAGGGATTTCTCTGAAGATGCTGACTCTCTTAATGGCATCTGCAGAGGGCAGGGGGAGTTGCACCGAGCTGCAAACTGCTCTCCAGTTGAATTTCCATTTCCAAGGTGCTGCTTGGCCCCTCCAGCTCCATCTCCTTCTTCCACAGGCACTGGAGCACCTGGGGGGAGCTGGCCCTGCTGATGTCCCCCAAACCTGGGGCCTGAAGGGTCACAGCCCTCGCAGCAGCCAGTGCCAAGCCTTTTTGATGTGATTTTTAACCCCCCTCGATCAATTATTTATTTCTGGCTGTGAAGGGAAGCCCGTGGCCATGGGCAGTCTGGTTCCACATCTGCTTTCTGAATTAACCCCGAAGGTCACTGCGGAGCTGGGAGCAGTTTAGTGCAAATCCCTGCCTAAACCCTGGGTTAAACCGGGGTCTGGTTTTGGGTTAACTCCTTGTTTCAGAGGCTGGAGAGAAGGGGAGCTGGAGGAGAGTGGGATTTAGCCCTGYGTTGTGGGGAAGATTTATGGAATTAAATCCTGTTTTGGAATMAAACTGCTGAGCATCCTGCCAAAATATCCCATGCAGCTGGGAAGGGAGATTCCCAGGCTGGCCTTGGGCACTGCCAGGGATCCAGGGGCAGCCACAGCTTCTCTGGGCACCCTGTGCCAGGGCCTGCCCACTCTCAGTTCCTTCCCAAAATCCCATCTAACCCTMCCCTCTGGCACTYTGAAGCTCCTGCTCCTGACAAGTGCTGGGGGTTGAAGGAAAAGGCGTGAAGATTTGGGAAAGTGAAGGGAACAGTTTTGTTCCCTAAAGCATCCCTCAGGTCTGCATCTCTCCAAAAATAATTTGAATTCCTCCCTCTCTCCCCACTTTCCCACCCTTTCCTATTACCAATATTTTTCCAAGGGATTGAACTTCTGATGTGGGATTTCTCTGGGATGCCAAAGCCTCCTACATCGCAAAATCCAGGGCTGAGGCTGCCATCCCTGGGGACCTGCAGCTCCTCACTGGGCTGGACCCTTCACTCTTCAGTGGCTCTGAGTAACATTTGCAGCTGCAAACTTYGTAACCTTCCACCCTTCCGTGCACATCCCTGGAAAAACAGGGTTGTGATGGGAAAAAATCATCATATTCTCATTATTCTTACAAAAGGGGGAGGGTGAAGGAGCATCCCAACTATGGGAAGCGGGGATGAGCTGAGGGATGACCATCCTCAGTTATCTTTCCACGCTGATGAATAAAACACCCCGCGGCTCTTGCAGCTTCTGCATCCAAAGGGATGTGTTAATGGGGCTGGACTGGCAGTTTATTGATTGATTTTAGTTTTTTTTTAATCGATTTTGCTGCATTCAGGGCTCAGGATCTGCATTACCTCTCTGCACAGCTCCGAGGCACCCCGTGGGAGCGTTGGTTGTTATGGGAAGAGGCTAATGCTGGGGTTTTGGGTTTAAAAGTGGCCTGAGTGGGTATTTCAAATGGAATCCCAGGCTGGGAATTGGGAAACGTCTAAAACACGCTGGGGAATGGCTGACTTGGATTTGGGCAGCAGTGAAAGGGTAATTGTCACCCATCCCTTGATGTGAGATTAAAAACCCCAAAGGAACAGAGGAAAAAATAGAAAAGGTCCATAAATCTGGCTTTATAATGTTCATCTAGTCTGGAAAGCCATGGTAGGGCTGAAACAAATTATTGGGAAAAGCTGAAAAAGTGTATTTGAATTTAAACATGAACTCTAATTAGTATTAAAAATAATTCAGTCTCCTTGATTTCTGTAGTGAGCCCCTGCTTGTGGAACTGTTCATTTGGGAGGATTTTTGGGAAAAAGAAAGTCCCCTTCTCAAAAATCATGGGTTTTTTTCTTCCCTAGGCTGTGTTTTGCTTTGCAGGAGGTGCAGGTTCTCACATGGGTTTGTGATTGCCTGTTCCACGCCTCTCTCCGTTTGTGTTGTTAATTCAGGTTTATTTGGGATACCTTTATTTTTGCAGCTTGATTGATTTGTTTGTTATTTCCATGTTTTTTATCAGTCTGATTTTGGGGGGTGTGGCTGTTTTCATGGTGCATTTTCATAGGCAGCTTTTCTGTTTGGGTTGCAATGTTTTTCTACTTTTTATTAGTTCAGATTGGGTTTTTTTAATGTTAGTTGGTCTTTTAAAGTTTTTCTTGCTACCTTAACAGAGAKTTGGTTATTATTTATGAATTGTTGTAAAAGTAGAGCTTTGGGTTCTTTTTTGTTTTTCTTTAGTAATGTTTAGGGTTAACTGGATGGCTTTGAGTTTAGCAAATTGATTTGATTTATTTTTAATTTTTGTGGTTTCTGTAACTTGCCATGTGGGGTTTTTTATATGTTTGTTTTTTATTTTCAGTTTATTTTTTGTCAGTGAAGAGAGCGTAGCATTGGTTGTTTAGTGGACTTTTTTTAGCTCTTTTTTTCTTTTTTGTTAGTGAGATTAAAGTTTTTACTTTTGGATCAATTCGCAATTATTTTTTAGGATATCAGAGTGATTTTAWTATGGGTGTGCTGTGTGATGAGGAGCTTTGGGGAAAGGTAAGGGATTGTATCAAAAAGCCATTTTTCCTTTGGTTGATGGAGTTTGAAGCGTTKCCATCCCTCTGAGTGATTCGTATCCCAAAAGGTCACTCAAAAATGCAGTGGAGGAAACCCTTGATGGGAATGGCTGATGTCATTGACCATCTGAGCCCTTCCTGGCCAAATTTTGTCTTATTCCAGCTTGGCTTTCTGACGTTGTGCTTTTGAGACATGGGAAAACAGGGGAAAAAACCCCCATGTTTTTGAGATCTTTGCGATCTTTGCGCTTGGTCTTGGGAAAGCTGGGAAGGGTGAGGAATGTGGGGGAGTGAAGGGCAGGAGGGGATTGAGAGCTGGGATGACCTTAATTTCTGCTTTCTTGGGTTTCCCTCCCTTCTCCAGGTGGATGAAATCTACCACGACGAGTCGCTGGGCGTGCACATCAACATCGTGCTGGTCAGGATGATCATGGTGGGATATCGCCAGGTAAATCCGGCGCTCGGATGGATTTATTTAGCACTTGTATTTATTTATTTATGTTTATTTAGCTCTGGAAATGATGGGATAAATGTGGGGAAAGGAGCTGGATGTTGATGAGAAGAAGCTGAGGTCGGGTGAGATATTAGAAAAAAGTTTTTTTTACGGAAAGAGTGATAAAGCTCTGGAATGATCTGCCYGGGGAGGTGGTGGAGTCACCGTCCCTGGACGTGTTTAAAAAAAGATTGGATGTGGCACTTGGTGCCGTGGTTTGGTTGAAGTGTCAGGGCATGGGTTGGACTSGAAGATCTTGAAGGTCTTTTCCAACCCTGGTGATTCTGTGATCTCCTTGAGTCAGCTCCCTGGCTGTCCTGTGGCTCTCAGGTGGCTTGGAAAAGCGTGGGAAGGCTTCCTGGGAAGTTTTCACCTGGTTTCTCCAGCTCCATTTGTAATTTAAAGCTCGTTCGAGTACAGCAGCCAGAAGAATTTCTTTCAAACAATGTGATTTTCTGTACTTTTTTAGGGGGCCAAGCCCCTGTTCCTTGGGAAGTGTTTGAGCAAGGGTGTTAATGACTCAACACGGTGACGTTTCTGTCTGTGTGTGATAAAATAAGACCCGYTAACTCTTGGGAAAAAACTTGCTCATTATAGAAATGTGCTTGGCTGGCAGAAACCCAGCACATCGTGGACATCCAGGGGTGGTTCTGAGGAGGGGGGATAAGGATGGAGGCTTGGCTCATTTTTGGAGGCTTCTGTGGAACCAGGAGCATCATCTCCACCYGAGCAAGCCATCAATCTGGCTTCCTCCCTGGTGATGTTCTGAGCTGGCAATGTTCCTCCCTGGGCTGGAGGATGATCTGTGGAGGAGAAGGGATTTGGTGCTGTGGTTTGGGGTGGGATGGGAACCATCAGRCTCTGTTTGGGATGATTTATCCTCCCCAAAACCATCTCTGGAGGCAGCTGCTATGTCGCTCCTCAGGTTCAGGGGATGACAYGGGGAAATAACAGCAGATGAAATTTGAAATTGTCTCACTGCTGAGCTTCCCAGCGGGGATAAACCCCCAGGGAAAGGGCAGCAGCGAGTTTTGCGCTGTGTCCGCAGTCGGTGAGCCTGATCGAGCGGGGCAATCCGTCGCGGAGCCTGGAGCAGGTGTGCCGCTGGGCGCACTCGCAGCAGCGCTCCGACCCCCAGCACGCCGAGTACCACGACCACGCCGTCTTCCTCACCAGGCAAGATTTTGGGCCCGCAGGTATGCAAGGTACTGTATTGGTCTCGATCAGGTATGTGCAGTTTGCTGGGGGAATAGCCAGCGAGGGGAGAGGATTTCTTGCGAGCACAGTCCTGTTTCTTTGGCCAGTGGAGGTCCAGAAAAAGGTTATCAAAATTGGTATTTTTTTTTCTTCGCGTGATGAAGAAGAATGAGATGGAGAATTAATCTGGAGCGTCAACCTGAATGGATAAAATATCTTTATTTATTCTCCTGCCTTTTGATTTCATTTACCAGTCCTCCCCTCGGTCCAAAATGCCTTAAAAATATAAAAACAAGATAAAAAAACATTAAATACCACCATAAATAAATAAAAAAACATTAAATACCATAAAATGAGGAAGCCTCATGGAGAGACAATCAACTTATTCTGTCCTCTGGAGGACCTTTAAAACCTGTTTTTTATTTCTTGGGCACGGGAGCAACACTGGGCCAAAAAAGAAGTTTTACCACAGGGACCTCTCACCCTCTCGGTGCAGATGTTGTGCCGGTGTGGTCTGAGAACTTGGAGGCCTTGCTAATAAAATTTGCAGGGAAAGCTTCTGGTGTTTCGCGGCGCCGTTAGGAAAACAGGTGCTTTGGTGTCATCACGAGAGGAGATGACTTCTCCCAGTTCTGAGAGGAATTCCCAGTTCTGCTGTGTCCACATTGCTGGCTCCTCTTCCCACGCTGGCGGCCAGGTCTGGTTTTTTGTCAGGAGGCTCTGTTTGATGCCGTGAACAGGGCAGTAACGCCACCCTGGTCTGTAGTTTGAGTCCTCCTGCACAGGAGGATGGAGAGGTGGAGGAGGACACCTGTCCTAACTTGGATTACCTGCCTGAAAAGGATCCCTGAAATGAAGTGAACATGAAGAGATGCGTAGCTGGACACTGCTGATTGCTCTGTGGCCACCAAAGAGCAGCCCTTGGCTTGTGCCCTGCCCTGGTCCCCTTGTCCACAGCCACATGGGTGAAATACCAGGTTTTGTTACATTTTTCTAGACCCTTCCTGGCAAAGGACTGTGTCCCAAGGCGTTGGTGAAAGGACCATTTTTGGCAGAAGTGGRGGACTCCCCGGGCTGTCCTTGGTGGGAAGGAGCCATGAGATCAGCCCTGCTCTCGGGGTGCTCGTTCCGGCTCCTTCCTCTTCTCTCTGCTTGTCATCTCCAGGACTTTTTGCACAAGTCCCAGTGGCTGCCGTGTCCTTGCCTGGCTGTGCTGCATGGCACAAAGAGCTCCTCCCCTGCCAGGACCTTCCCGCTGCCTGCCTGGAGCAGTAACACTGTGCTCCCTCCCGTTTCTCTTCCTCCAAACAAAGTCCTCRTGGATCTGAGGACTGCCCCTGCTGAGCTCAGGGACGCGTGGGATGAAGGATCAGAGCATGGCACCGTGTAATCCCTGCCCTTTGAAGGGGGAGGCAGYGGACAGATGGGTTGTAAATTATTAATTGCTGCCATAGAGGTCTTGACAACACCCAAGGAGCTGCTGTGTCCCCCCGCAGCGGGTGGGATTTCTGGCCTGGGCTGAAGGATGCTTGTGCTCAGGATTAAGTTGCTTCTCGCCATCGTTCTCCTGTGGAGAACGTTTTACACTACTTCCAATTCTTGCTGGAGCCTTCATTACACAAAACTGCCTTCGTCTGCATCCACCTGCTCATATTCCTTTGTCTCACCTCCCATCCACAGCCCCYTTGGTTGGAAATTCCTCCGGCTTTCACCCCAGACAAAACACATTTGCTCTTCCCTTGTGGAGGAAGCTTCCCCCATCTTTACTCTTTCTCGTGGAAAGTCTCATGGGGGGAAGAATAAAGCCTTTTCCAATTATTTATTCAGCATCTCCCTCAGCTCATCAGCACCCCTCTCTTGCTGCTGCCCATCCTGGCTCACYGAGCTCCCCTCTTCCAGCACCCCAATCCCCAGGGCACGGTTATCCAGCATGGTCCTGCCCTGCTTTTGCCTCTCTGACCTCTGAGTCCTTCCTTCACTAACTCCCTCGATGCCAAAAAGGGTCAACCTTAAAACAAACCCCAATGCACATCAAAAAAAAAAATCACAGAGCAAATTCTGAAACGTGCCMACGAGTTAATGGAATTGGGTGGAAATCAGGTGAAAAAGAAAGGAAAAGAGACAAAAACAGAGGTGGTACGCTGCTGCCTGGCTGAGGGGAGGATTCCCTGCCCACAGCTACCCCACTGCACTGCACTTGATCGAGGGCTGAGGTGCTGGGGCTGGGGTGGGTGCATGTGTGGGTGCTCCCTGTGTGGGGCACGCCTGTTGTGCCTTTTCTTCTCTCTTGTTTTTCTTCTTTATTTGTTTTAAATGAAGAGGAACGCAGGGGATGCTGCTCCTGGCCTGGGAGGCGGTGGCCATCCGCGCTGATGGGGTGTCCTGGGTGCTGTTTCTGCCCTCCTGCCTGTCCCCCGAGGGCACAGAGGTGTCGGCAAGCCCCAGAGCAATCTCTGCTGGCTCTTGGCACCGGGGTGGTGGCACTGGTGAGCAAGAGCCAGCTGCCACCCAAGTGACCTGTGCAGCCTCTACTCTTCAGCGCCTTCCTCTCTGTTTTCTCCTCTGTTGCATGGAGCCAGGTCATGTTTTTGTGAGGTTTTCTTTTCCTAATTTTCCATTTTCCCCCCTCCTCTCTCAAAGGTTTTCTCTCTCCTCTCCTCCTCTGTCCTTGCCCTGTCTCTCTTTGCCCCAGGCTACGCTCCGGTGACGGGGATGTGCCACCCTCTCCGCAGCTGCACCCTCAACCACGAGGACGGCTTCTCCTCSGCCTTCGTCGTCGCCCACGAGACCGGCCACGTGTGAGTGACCGAGACAGGGCCTGGCCATTGTGCTGGTGCTTTCTGCTGCTTGCAGGAGGTGTAAATCCCTTGGGATCTCCCCGCCAGGTTGGGCATGGAGCACGACGGGCAGGGGAACCGCTGCGCCGACGAGACCAGCATGGGGAGCATCATGGCGCCGCTGGTGCAGGCCGCCTTCCACCGCTACCACTGGTCCCGCTGCAGCAAGCAGGAGCTCAATCGCTACATCCAGTACGTCCCTTCCAGCTGSGAGGGGGTGTTGGCCCTTCAGAACATGGCTGGTGGTGTTTTGTGCTCCAAGATGGTCCCAGGGCAGGAGTGGCTCTGGAGATGGGCTGGGAGAGCTGGGGGTGTTCAGCCTGGAGAGTGGGAGGCTCCAGGGAGACTTTGGAGCTTCTTCCAGTGCCTAAAGGGGCTCCGGGAGAGGGACTTTGGACAAGGGGGAATGGCTTCCCACTGACTGACAGAAGGGTTGGATGGGACATTAGGAAAAATTCTTTCCTGYGAAGGTGGGGAGGCCCTGGCATGGGTTGTCACCCCCTGGATCCCTGGAAGTGTCCAAGGCCAGGCTGGTGGGGGCTTGGAGCCACCTTGGACCGTGGAAGGTATCCTTGCCCAGGGGAGGTGGGGCTCTATGACCTTGAAGGACCATTCCAATTCAAAATCCTGGGATTCTGTGACAATTCAAATCTCCCAGTAGCTGAACTTGGAGGGTGGCCTGGAGCTGAGGGATGGGGTGATGGAGGGAAATCCCGTGTGTCTGACTCCACAGCTCCTACGACTGCCTCCTGGACGACCCCTTTGAGCACCCATGGCCCACGTTACCRGAGCTGCCRGGCATTAATTACTCCATGGAYGAGCAGTGCCGCTTCGACTTTGGCGTGGGCTACAAGACGTGCACGGCCGTGAGTAGGGGCTGCGTGGCCACACCGTGTCCCCTCCCTGGCACCCCCGGCCAGCCTGGCCACCCCTGCTGCTGCCATCCCAGCCCAGCCCCTCTGTGCTCCCCAGTTCCGCACCTTCGACCCCTGCAAGCAGCTGTGGTGCAGCCACCCGGACAACCCCTACTTCTGCAAAACCAAGAAGGGGCCGCCCTTGGATGGCACTGAGTGCTCTCCTGGCAAGGTAGGGGTGCTGGTGCTGCCTCTGAGGGCACGATGGAGAGCGCCTTCCTGCCGTGCTTCGCCATCTCCGCAGCACTGTAGGTGCGGGTGGGGAGAGCCGTGGGGCTCATTCCTGCTCCCCCTCCCAGTGGTGCTTCAAGGGCCACTGCATCTGGAAGACGTCGGAGCAGCCCTACAGCCAGGACGGCAGCTGGAGCTCCTGGTCCAAGTTTGGCTCGTGCTCCAGGACCTGCGGGGGAGGCGTGCGGTCCCGCAGCCGCAGCTGYGACAACCCGCCGTACGTTGGGGTTTCATCTCCCTCTGGGGAGGTTCCTGGCTCTCCCCTTTGCTGGCAGGGATGGGGACATCTGCTCCTGCAGGGGCTGTGATGTTTGCTGGACACCAGCCCCACCCCAGTGCTCTGACARCCCCCTGGATTTGTTTTCCAGCCCGGCGTACGGAGGACGCCAGTGCCCGGGAGCCACCTACGAGTACCAGGTGTGCAACGCCGAGGAGTGCCCGGGGCCCTAYCAGGACTTCCGTGCCCAGCAGTGCTCCAAGCGCAACTCCTACTACACCCACCAGARCAGCAAGCACTCCTGGCTTCCCTACGAGCACCACGACGGTGAGCGGCAGCTTCGCTCCAAAATTCTGCCAAATTCCAAATTCTGTGAGATGGAGGCTGTGCCAGCTGGACAGATGTTGGGTGGTGGGGAGCTGCTGAGCTGGAAATTGATGTGCAGTGAGCYGAGGTCGAGCAGCCAGCTTTTGAAAATTGTGGAATCACCGAATGGTTTGGGTTGGAAGGGACCTTTATCTCGTTCCAACCCCATAGCCATGGCACGGACACCTCCAGCTATGCTGGATTGCTCACGGTTGGAAGAACACTTCCAGGGATCCAGGGGCAGCCACAGCTTCTCTGGGCACCCTGTGCCGGGGCCTTTCACCCTCCCAGGGAGCAGTTCCTTCCCAATGTCCCATCCAACCCTGCCCTCTGGCAGTTTAAAACCATTGCCCTTGTCCTGTCCCTCCATCCCCTGTCCCCAGTCCCTCTCCAGCTCCCCTGGAGCCCCTTTAGGCCCTGGAAGGTGAGCTCTCCCTGGAGCCTTCTCCTCTCCAGGTGAGCACCCTCAGCTCTCCCAGCCTGGCTCCAGAGCAGAGCTGCCTGCTTGCATTGCAGCCCCATGTAGAACATCATGTCCTTTCCTCAACATCCTCAGTGTACCAGTCAGCAGTGCAGGCCCTTGAGCAGCAAATGRATACGGGAGATAAGGCACACAAATATCCTGAGCTTTGGACATCTGGCTGTCCAAAAAAAATGGGATGATTTTCTGTCTTTAACCACCCTAATAGGTTTCCACCACCTCTTTTTCCCCCTCCACCCACACTTTTTCCCCCTCTTTCCCTTTTCCTTTGCTGCAGACGCTCAGAAGTGCGAGCTGATCTGCCAGTCCGAGGGCACGGGGGACGTGGTGTTCATGAACCAGGTSGTCCACGACGGGACCCGCTGCAGCTACCGGGACCCCTACAGCGTCTGTGTCCGGGGCGAGTGYGTGGTGAGCAGCTGGAGTGGGCCTGTCCCTGTCCTTTCCC